AATTTCTATCCTGCCTGCGCTTCATCGCCATTTTTTTGTCTCAGCTAAAAAGCCCCCCCCACACTTGAGCTTTTCCCTTTAAAGAACAGGGACAGGGGAGAGAAATCTGATCCAGTCTGCACTGTAGGCAATCCCACTTAATTCATATTTTCCAAACCCAGATGCCAATTGAAACACAGCCGTCCTTCGAAATTCGCACTTTTCTGAATTTTGCAGTGGAAAAGTAACGGGTTTGCAAATGCATCTGCTTGTGTATCTGGTGATGTTAATGTCAACATTAGCTTTCAAATTTTTAATTGGGAAAGTGCAGCTTGCGGGGGATTCCACAATCAACACAATCAGCATCACAAGGGGTTGAGCTGGATGACCGTTGGGGAACCCCCTTCCACCCCTACAGTTATATCATATTTAACACCTTGTGCTTCTGTTTACTCAGAAGAAATTACACCACCCCACACATCCTGGGTAGTTTTTAATGCTTTACTTTCAACCCTGGGGAAGTCTACTCAGAAGTAAGCCCAGCCTCCCACTGCCGCTTATGCTACACAGGCCTTATTCCCAGCCAATATGTGTGAGCAGGATCACAGCCATATGGCAAAACCTTAACCTTGTCGTCTTAGAAGTGAGTCATACTAAATTCAATGGGGATTACTCCCAGGTAAGTAGGGTTAGGATCGCTACCCAAGCCCTGCAACTGAATTGTAAAACAAAATCTCCTTTTAACACCTTTCTCCAATTTTCTTTCTTTGTTGCACACACACACACACACACACACACGTATTACATACAACATCCTACTAAACCCAGCAACACCCATAATTTAGATATAATTTAGATAATTCTAAATAGATTATCCATCTCAGTTTGCCCTTGAATCACGAGAGCTAGAGGCACGGAAGAACAGAGCAGCGTGTGTTTAGTGGCAAGGAAATTTTTCGGAGGGGGCAATTCGACGCTTGCAGTAGCATCCAGTAGAGGCCACGGGGAAATATTGGAGGGAAGCTCAGAACAATACAAGGAAAGCAGAAATATAACCACAAAGAATCTGTGGACAGATTTCCCTATTTATTGGGCAATCTTACCCCAACCCCCCAACCCCAGCAAACCACTCTTACAGATATTGGATCCGACTCTATTGCAAAAAGCCTAATCAATAGCCGAGATTCATATTACCCAACAATAATGGATCCGAGAGGGTGATTATTCATTCAGCGCTCCGATATTCAGGACTTAACAGTTTTCAAGAAGTCGCCATAATGGTGACCTTTTGGCTCCTTCCTCCCTCATGCCCCTCATATATATATATATATATATATATATGCAGGTTTTGGTGTCCTCGGGTGTCTTCCCGTGTAAAAGTTCCAGTAACAAGAAGCCGAAAGCACCAGCCTGAAGATGACGAGTGAGACCTCGTCGAAACGTCGCCTAGACACCCCAACTTTTACACGGGAAGACACCCGAGGACACCAAAACCTGCATTCCTGTACCCGTGAAAATCTACGAAAGCAAATATATATATATATATATATATATATATATATATGCAGGTTTTGGTGTCCTCGGGTGTCTTCCCGTGTAAAAGTTGGGGTGTCTAGGCGACGTTTCGACGAGGTCTCACTCGTCATCTTCAGGCTGGTGCTTTCGGCTTCTTGTTACTGGAACAGAGCAGGATCTCAGTGTTTGAGTTCCTATAAATACTGTTGAGGGGGTGTGGTGTATAGCCTCCAATGTTCTGGGCAGAGAGGAAGTTCCCAGGCTAGTGTGCCTTTTCTTTTTAAGGGAAATTAAGGAACAAAAGAAGAAAAGGCACACTAGCCTGGGAACTTCCTCTCTGCCCAGAACATTGGAGGCTATACACCACACCCCCTCAACAGTATTTATAGGAACTCAAACACTGAGATCCTGCTCTGTTCCAGTAACAAGAAGCCGAAAGCACCAGCCTGAAGATGACGAGTGAGACCTCGTCGAAACGTCGCCTAGACACCCCAACTTTTACACGGGAAGACACCCGAGGACACCAAAACCTGCATATATATATATATATATATATATTAACAACAACTGTGAGGGTTTACTTCCACACTCAGCCATCTCCACCCGCCTCTCTGTGATCATGCGAGTGAATGACAGTTTGCAAGAGATGGGGGGGTGGGAGGGAATGGCGCTGAGCAGCAGCCCAGCACCCAAACACCCACACAGAGGCATTTTGCAGGCCCCAACGAAGCCCGGTCTTGTGGTCAGCCTCGAAAGAACCGGCCGAGGAGGGAGCGCAGGGTTCGATCTCCTCGCCACCGTCGTGGACTTCCACTGGGTTTGCCCATGGCAGTGTGCGGATCCTTGCCTGTGGCTGGGGAATGGCGCTTAGAGGGGCTCAGAGTCCCACTATCCTCCTTGACCATTGGCCATGCTTGCTGGGGCAGATGGGAGTTGTAGTTCAGTAACATCTGGAAGGCCAGATGTTCCCCCACACCTGGTCTGGAGCTTTTGGATATCCCAGGAGCCTGACAAACCTGGTGGCTTGAATATTCAGGCTGGGGCCAAAAAACTCTGACTCCATCTTTTCACCCTGGCAACCCATCCCAGCCTGTGGCCTGGAAGGCTGGGTGCAGGATTTCTGAATGCCCCCAGCAACCCAGGTTGGGATGGCGACCTTCTTTCTAGCCCAGTCCTGTCTCTCAGAAGAGGCCCAGTGTAAGGACATCAGGAGAGACCTGCTGGATCCGGCCAATGAGGGCCCTTTTGGTCCAGCACCCTCTTCCCTCAATGGCCAACACCCCTGATAACATACAAATCTAGCTAGACTGCCTCTGGAGCTGGAGGTTCCATAAGGAGAGCTTGGCTGTGATTTCCATTTAGTAGCAATCACTACCCTAGCTCAGGACACACCAACAAAGGAGGAGTGGATTTGTAAATTAAGTGAGCATATAGAATTGGCAAAATTAACTTCAATTATAAGATATCAATCAAATCAAAAGTTAAGAATGGAGTGGAAGTATTTCGAAGATTATATGCCAAAATATTGTTCTAAAAACGATATGTTAATAGGCTTAGAATAAGAAATGTAAGCAATAACAAAACAAAGAAAGAAGGAAAAATAAGAATTTAACAAAAATAATTTATTATAGAATGCAAGGGGGAAAGGTAGAAAGAAATATAAAGAAGTTGAATTGCTGTGGAGGGAAGTAGAGGGTGGGGGGTTATAATTAAGTGTATAATTATGCAGCTGTTGTAATTTAGATATTATATTTTATGTGAGGGAATCATTGGGAATTTTGGTTATTATGTATATACGTTAAGTTTCAATAAAGATCTTTAGAAAAAAATTAAATCAGGAGAACCTGTGCTGCTGGATGAGGCCAAAGGGGTCCTGTCTAGCCCAGCACCCTGATGTTCCAACTGGAAGCCCAAAAGCACAACCTGAGTGCTTGCAATTCGCAGCAACGGGTCTTCTCCAGAGGGGCTTTCAAATTCCAGCGGTGCCCTGTGCAACACCAAAATTCAGTGCGCATCCCTGCCTCTCGACTTCCATTCAAAGTCTTTGTCGCGGTGCCCTCTCGGCTCAGCACCCAGTGAGGGCAGACCAGTCACGACCCCCTAAATCTGCCTCCGTCGCTGGAGGGAGTACACAGCTGCTGTGGTTTGTAGCCACCGATAGTCCAATCCTCCTTCCTGAATTTGTCTAATCCTCATTCAAAGGTGGGTGGCCATAGCTGCCTCCTGTGGGGGTGAGTTCCACAGTTTAACTGTGGGCTGTGTGAGGAAGAAGCCCTTCCTTTCTTCCCCAACCCCTGGGCTGGACAAGGTGTTCCTCCTTCGATGAGACCCTTGGCAGGTCTGCTGTCTCAGCAGCCGGGCCTAGAGAGTCTAGCGAGTCTTGACTCCCAAGCAAGGGCCCGCATAGAGCAGTTGGGGGCGGCCCATCCCATTTCACCACCTGAGGCAAGATGGGAATGTGCCGTCTCCTGCCTGCCCCCCAACTGCCACCACCGCACCCCACGGCTTCCACCGCACGCTGGAACACAACCCCGTCGCCAAATTCAGCCAGGGAAGAGCACTGAGCAAGGCTATGGCCATGTCTTCTCCACCGATGGGGTGAAACTCAGTAAGGGGGTGCTTTCTGCTGCCAGCAGAAGCGGATGCTGCTCCACCCCACCTAATGGGCTCTGATAGCAGCGGTTCCCAAGTGGGTGGTGCCACCGGGAAAATGGGGGGTGGGATTCCCTAGTGGGGAGCTAAGGCGCAAGGGGGCGGCAGCGGGTGCAGGAGAGGCCAACGCCCAACAGACTTTGGAAAGCCGATAGCGCTGGATCCAGTTCATTCCTTCTGCTCACTTAATTAAACCAAATAGTTTTGCTTGGGTTTCGAATAAATGTGCAATTAATTGTTCCTCTTTTGAACTCCCTCGGGAGATGCTGGGCGTTCCTTCCTTGGAGGTATTTCAGCAGAGGCTGGATGGCTGTCCGTCATGGATGCTTTCACTGAGATTCCTGCATTGCAGGGGGTTGGGCTAGATGACCCTCAGGGTCCCTCGGGGTGCCAACTTGAATAAAAAAATGGGGGGCCCTAGATAAGCCCCAACCCACATAACTGACCACAAGATTATGAATGAGACACCATTTGAATGGCAAAGCAACTTGGGGGGGCTGGCCCCCTCAAATATTTTATTGGGGGGGCGAGCGGAAGGGACTTTGGCCCCCTAGGAATGGGCTCCTATGCTCCCAACTCTACAATTCGGTGAGTCAATGAGTTTTATTGTGCTATCGTCTTGCTTTGTGGGTCATGCAAACCGCTGTTCTGAATAGCGCTTTTGTTGGGGTAGCAGAAACAGAGGATGAGTCTGTGGCCCCGAAAAGGTTGCGAAGCCCTGATATATAGGGCTGCCACGTCTACCGAGGACCTTGAGGGGGGGGCGGAAACAGCCCCTCCTCGCTTCCTTGTATTGTTCCAGCCTTGCTTACAGCTTGCATCTGGGGGAGGGTGGGGGTCAAAAATTATCTTACCTTCTAACCTTAAAGCTGCCATCCTCTGGAACTCGGGCTCCTGCAGCCACCTCCACATCCTCTTGAAGGTCTCCCTCCCGGACTTGAGCTTGCTCCAGGGCTTGGGGTTCCTCAGGAGGTCCGAGAGGGTGCCCTGCGACCGGCAGAGGACCCTCTCGGCGAAGATGGCTTGGGGGATGCTGTAGCGCTTGAGCTCTGCGATGATCCTCTGAGCCACTTCCTTGGTGTTGATCTCCTCCAGTTGGCTGGAGAGGACGGTGGTCTGGGTGGCGATGGGCGGGTTGGGCCGGGCGTTCATCTCCGCCCGGGGGTGTCCGTAGGGGGTTTGGCCCATGGCGCTGGGAGAGGCCATGGTGGAGTTCTGCGAGGGGGACATCTCCCGGGAGAAGTGCTGCTCCATCCTGCCAAACATGGCGGCCGAGTGGGCCTCGAAGCCGTTGCCCAACACCATCTTCTCGTTGCCCAGCGGGGCGGAGGAGTGGCCTGCATAGTTGTGCATGGGGCCCAGCTGCGGGCTGGGCAGGGAGGACAGGCTCTGCCCCATGCCAATGTCCTTGGGGTAGGGGCTGTAGAAGTTCCCCCCGGCGCCCAGGCCCCGGTCCTCCCGCATGAGGGTGAAGCTGCCGATGACGTTCCCCATGGGGAGGCACTGGTGGTGGTGATGGTGATGGTGGAACTTCTCGTGCAGGGGCTGCAAGGGCGTCAGGGTGGTGTAGCTGTTCCCCGCCCCGGCGGAGGGCGACTCCCCGCCGAAGCCCAGCCCCGGGTGCAAGGTGGTGGCCAGGGCGTGCTCCGCCCGGTGGTACTCGCTGCCCTCCAGGACAGAGGCCACCAGCGACGGCCTCTGCAGGGCCGAGTGCAGGGCCCGGCTGTCGCTGTGCATCAGCTCCTGCTCCTGGATGGACATGTCCCCGCCGTTCTCCAAGCTCAGCTGGACGTTCATGGTGCAAGACCCCTGGCCCTAGGCCATCACCTTCCCATCTGTTGGACGAACCGGGTCTGAAATCTCCAGCTCAGCGGGGCTCTGGGAGGATGGGAGCTACGGGCTCTGGAAGGTGGTGGTTGGTTGGTTGGTTGGTTTGTTGGAGAAGACCAAGGTGGTGTTTCTTACCGTCCTTGAGAACCTTCAGTGGGACAGAAGAGCATCAAAACATACAGAAGAGCCTGGCTCCTGGATCAGGCTCAAAGGCTCACCTAGCTCAGCGTCTAGACTAGGTGGGCCTTTGAGGAATCTGGATAGACTGCCTCTGGACCTGGAGGCTCCATAAGAGCATAAGGAAAGCCCTGTTAAATGAAGCTGCAAGGTCCAGCTCCCTCTAATTTCAGTAGCCAAAAGCCCCAAAGAATCTAGCTCAGGCATAGGCAACCTCGACCCACCAGATGTTTTGGGACTGCAACCCCCATGATCCCTAGTGGTCAGGGATGATGGGAATTGTAGTCTCCAAACATCTGGTGGGCCGAGGTTGCCTATGCCTGATCCAGCTAGACTGCCTCTGGACCTGGAGGTTCCATAAGAAAACGGGAAGAGCCTGCCTGCTGGATCGGGGCCAAAGCAAAGCCCATCTCACCCAGCCTATCAGTGGACAAATGCCCCACAGGACCTAGGAACGTGGATAGACTGCTTTTAGATCTGGGGGTTCCATTGGGATATTGGTAGAGTCCTGTGGCTGGATCATCTGCTCCAGCATCGCGGTTTCACTGGGGCTGGGCAGATGCCCACAATCAAGACCCAAGGACAACAGCAACACTACCATCAACGGGCATTGAGAGGCAATCGTGAGACAGGTGAACTGCTGGTCTGATTCATCCCAGGGCAGTCTACCCCGCGGAAGCCTTCCCGGGTCAAGTCGAAGGAAGCCCACTGAGTCCCTCATCCCATCCTCTCCTTGGTCATCCAGGTTCCTCAATGGGGAGCCCACCTGGAAGGACCTGAGGGCCACACATCTCTCCCCACCTGCGACCCCCAACACTGGCATTCAGAGGCATCCTTCCTCCAACAGGGGAGGACACAGCCATTGGGGCGAGTGGTAGCCATGGATAGCTGCCTACGAGTTTGCCCGGTCCTCTAGGAAAGCCATGCAAGCCAGTGGCCGCCACCACTACAGAATTTGTGGGCACGAATTCCGCAATTTCACTATGTGCTGGGAAGTGGCTGATGGGGACACAGGCATGGGAGAACACAGCCGATTTTTAAAGAAGAAAATGCATTCATCAAGGGTGCCAAATTAAGGGTGCACCGGTCAAACTTCAAAACTCATTTGTTTCCCCCCTTTTTGCACTCTCGAAACAGGTAGATCCTCATCAGAAATTGGGGTGGGTGGGGGAGAGACTGTTCAGAGATGCTCACGGCTTCCGAATGTAGAGGACCCCACAAGCTCTTTGCCCCACAAGTAAAGTGGTCTTGGCACTCCCCACTTCCTGCACACAAAGCGAGGGACACCTGCCCACTCTGCCCTGTCCAGTTCAAGGCAGATTTGGAGATCAGATTACGGCAGATTACGAATCGTAGCAAAGAAATCACACACCCATCTTCTCCATCCCTGTGCAAAAGTCCGAACGGCCCTCCCCTCCTAATTTTTATAATTAATAATAACAATTAATTAATAACAGGGGTCATAATTTATGTGCCTTACCTAGTGTCAAGCGTTGCATTTTCTGAGCATTTTGGAAGCACACGGGGCTGTAAGAAGGTCGGGGGTGGGGGAGCAGAGCAAGAGTGAAAGAGAAGAAGAAAAAGAGAAATTATTTTCAAACCTGAGCGTTTTTCAAAGAAAGAAAAAGCATCTTGGCCAATTCTGCTTCTTCAGAGGCATTTCCTCCCCCCCAAAGCGGCTTGCCTCCCCCCTCCCTCTCTTCCTCCACCTTTTGCTAGTGCTTAAAATATAAAAGAAAAATAAAAGAGGGGGGAAAGGCACTTCCTGAACGCAAAGAGATTCGAACTCCCTCTTTTGGTCAGAAATTAAAAACCCATCTGCATTTCACACTCCTCTTAGTCCCCCCCCCCTTTTCTTCTTTTTTTTTAAAGTCCCACTCTCTTCAGATCTGTCAAACTGACTGGCTGCAGGAATAGCTGAGGATGTCCAGGAAAATCCCTCATCAGATGCGTGGAAATCTGGTTTTTTGTTTGTTTTTTTAAGGCCGGTGTCCATTTAATTTTCAGTTTGTTTTAGAATCGGTCCAGCTTCAACTAACCTCTTCCTTTGTCTCCTTCTCTCTCTCTCTCTCTCTCTCTCTCTCTCTCTCTCTCTCTCTCTCTCTCTCTCTCCTCTGTCTTCCTCCAGAGAGCTCTGCCCTGCTTGCTGCTTTTCAGCCCAAAGCCACTGGTATCGATTCCACAACCCAAACCCTCTGCCTGCCTGCTCTCTCCCCACGTCACCAGCCTAAAAAACTGACAGATCGCAATCAGGAGCCAACCTGATTTAACCCAGTCAGCCCTGGACCCAGAAAGGAAAAGAGAGAGAGAGAGAATGAAAAAGAGAAAAAGAAAGAGATTGAAAACTGAGGCTGCTCTGGAAGGGAAAAGGGGAGGAAAGAGATGTTCGCTGGTGCTCATCAGGGCCACTGTTGACACTGCCGTTTTGCGGGCGGCTTAGGGTCAAGATCCGCTGCCATTTAAAAGGAAGAACATTGCATCCCAATAGATTTGCATGATGTGCGGAGAGAGATATCAGGTGCCTGTCTTGGTCTGAGTTTGGCGCCTGTCCATTTCGAGGAGGTGAACTTTGGGGAGGGCCCGTCTCCAGGGACTCGGCTCCCTCCCCTGGCCTGGTGACTTTTAAAACTAGCAGCCGGGGTTCACCATCTAAAACCAGCCCTCAGAAACCCAGGAAGAGGCCTGGCCAGATCAAAGCAAAGGCCCGGTTTCCTGTTGCCAATGGTGGACAGCCGGATAATTATTGGTAAGGCCACCAGGAAACAAACCACCGCCCCATTGTCTGCTTGCTTCTGGGATCTCGCCGTTGGAGGTAGACTGTCCCTGAGCCTGGATGTTCCACCTCAATGCATTTGTGTCCATCCCCCTATTTAACCCTGTCACCATCGTCTCATATTGCAGCAACGAACTCTACACAGCAGGTGTGGCTTTGTTGACAGATCTATTTCCCTGTCTGTCTGTCTGTCTGTCCTGAATTGACTGCTTGCCAATTTCTGCGAGAGCAAAGAGAATACCTCTCTTTAACATCTCCTTTATGTCGCATTTGGGGCGTCTTTGGGAACAATCAGTAAACAAAATTAAAATGAGGTTTCCCTTAAATATATCCCTCCTCTGGATATTATATAGAGCTTCACTTTCTCGGCTATACTAAGCTACGTAGGAATTCAGATCACTGTTATTATAAATCAGCATTGGCTGAGTGTTCTTCATCTCCCCTTTCACAAGCGCACAGAAGAATTTATTCAATTTTTTCCCCTCCCTGTGGCAAAATCTTTCCATAGTCCTTTTCCACCCATGAAACGAACAAAACACAGGCCTTCTTCCTATCTGTTTATGCGGATATTGGTCATGAAGAAATAGTGAGCAGCTGGATGGAAGCGTGTCCAAACCAAGTGACTTTCTGTAGTCGAATGACAGGAACACAAAATGCAGAAGGCATTCTGAACACCGGGCTGTGTGTGTGTGTGTGTGTGTGTGTGTGTGTGTGTGTGTGTGTGTTTTAAGATGCTGTTTTAAATTGGCTGGGTATTCTGGGATCAATTATAGAATTTATTGACTGTATTCATACAGCCCACCCGATAACGTATATACTGTAGATAGCTTATAGATAATAGATATTATAGGGGTAGGTTTTTTTGTTAGATTTGTAATATATCTATATCCATATATCTATATATATATATATCAGTGTGATTTCTAATAGAATAACAGAATAGAAATACATCAGAATTGAAGAAAGAAAATGCAGATTAATGTATCCAGACAAGCTCATATGTTGATATTCATACTTAGTGATATTCTCCGAAGACAGAGAGAAATTTGGGAGTGAGGTTTGCTTGTATTAAGAAACTTACAGCAGGTTATGACCAAATGGCAGTGGTCCCCAGAGTAGACTCATTGAAATTCATGTGCACGCCTGATTTACATCAATTAATTCTGGTGGGTCTACTCTGTGCAGGACTAAGTGGGAGGCAGAGTATTTATTGGTCTTAAATTCCATGATGGTCTTGGTGGTTTTAATGCACAAGGAAGGAATATTACTAATTAGAAAGGGCTGATTGACTCTCTTTTCATAGAGGGCTCAAACTGTAACAAAATGTGGGGCACCGGGGATTAAAATCCTCTGCCTAAGATCTGGGAAATCCTGGCTGTGGATAACATCTCACGTCAGTTAAAGGCTACAGCTAATCCCAAATTTACAGATGACTTTTATAAGCATGGTTCCCAAGCGCATTTTGTTAATAGCCACATTTTAAAACTGGGTACACATGTGATTTCCATTTTTTAAAAATGAATGAATGTACGCATGTATGCAACTTGCTCTCCATCCAAATCTGTCATCAAAGAGAACAGTAGCTCTATTAATCTGTGCATCCTATATTTAAAAATGGACTGATAATATCGACACAGCCGGTGCAATATTCAAAGCGTCCTAGGGGTTACTTGATATTTTTCCACCTTCCTGTTTCTTTATGCAGATTGAATTGCGGGTTAGCGCATATTAAGGTGCCGTTTAAAGAAATAAACAGTTCTGCAATGACACACGGGGCTATTTTCCTAGGGCAGGATTTTGCTCCTCCTAGGCGAATGATAGGCGGGCCTGCATCTGTTTACAAAAAAACAAACAAAACCCTGCTGTTTCCTCAGCAACAATCATGCCTGCAGGCCTTTCTCCAGTGCTAGGAGGTCAGACCCCTAGGCTGGGTATGGGCAGTGGGGGGGGGAACCTTTTTAAAAATGGTACTATTTTTGAAACATCTGTGCTAACTTCTCCACAAAGCAGGTAAGCTTAGGGAGTTAATCTTCTGTTCATTCTGCAATTGTGATTTTTTTAAAAAAATATATAAAAAAGGAGATTAAAAACCCAGGCTTTTAAAAAATATATAATAAGCCATAAAGTAGCAGTGAACAAGACCACATCCCCACATTTTGGAAGCCTGGGTTGGGCGGATTACCAAACAGGAAGACGTGCCCAGCGCACTCTTAGAAACATGCAAAGCTGTGGCTCATCTTGGCGGCTTTTAAATGTACATACCCTCCTCTATCTATCATCTATCTATATCTCAAAGCCTCTGCCCTCCAAAAACATCCTCAGGGTGATTTAGAAGACACACACGCCAGAGGAGCAGCAACGCTTTCAAGAGCCAATCCCAACAGGCCGAATCCTGAACCAATGGATTCAAATTACAAGAGATTCCGACTAAACATTAGGAAGAACTTTCGGGCAGTAAGAGCTGTTTGCCAGCGGAAAAGATTCCCGTGAGAGGTGCTGGACTCTCCTCCCATGGAGGTCTTTAAACAGAGGTTGGACGGCCATCGGTCAGGGATGCTCGAGCTGAGATTCCTACACTGAAGCGGGTTGGACTAGATGACCTTGGGGTACCTTCCAATTCTACGATTCTGTGAACAGATCCACTAGAGCCATCCTCTAGTCCAGTGGGAACTTCCTGCTTAAAGCAGAAGATGTCTTCTGCTCAAACAGCTAAAATTTGAGACCAGCTTTCTAATAATAATAATAATAATAATAATAATAAACAACTCCATTTTAAAAACCTCTACCTTTCCATGGGAGGGAGCAGTATGCAAGCTTTCTGATGACACAGAACTCTAGATGGGTAGGATCAGAAGCGTCTGCTCAAGAGGCCTTTTCTTAATCTCAGGGCTGAAATATGTGGGTTAGGCATAGCTTTCAACGTTTCCCTTTTTTTAAAAGGGAAATTCCCTTATTCCGAATAGGATTCCTCGCAAGAAAAGGGAAAAGTTGACAGCTGTGGGGTTAGGGGGTGTGCCCACCGCAGGAATCGCTCTTCATTCAAAACGGGTTTGCACAAACAATGTCTTAACATCGCTCAAAACGTCTTGCAATTTTTGTACGGCTCATTTGTTTTTCCAGGATCAATGGCATGGCGTCTGCAACTAAAAAAAATACACCGTATTTTTTGCTCTATAAGACTCACTTTTTCCCTCCTAAAAAGTAAGGGGAAATGTCTGCACATCTTATGGAGCGAATGCAGGCTGCACAGCTATCCCAGAAGCCAGAACAGCAAGAGGGATTGCTGCTTTCACTGCACAGCAATCCCTCTTGCTGTTCTGGCTTCTGAGATTCAAAATATTTTTTTCCTTGTTTTCCTCCTCCAAAAACTAGGTGCGTCTTATGGTCTGGTGCATCTTATAGAGCGAAAAATACAGTAATCAAAGCCCCAGGAGAGCTGTGGCTCCCAAACTATTTCACCTATGTCATGGCCTAGATCTGAGAACGCCTTTGCTGGACCAGACTAAAGGTCCATCTGGTTCGGTCAGGTGCTTCTGAAACGGCAACAAGCCCAGGCCACAAAAGTTTCAGTCTTCCCCTCTGTTGCTTTGTCCTTAGCAGTGACTACTTGGAGGCTGAGTACTCCTGTATACAGGAGATCTACCCTCTGTGATAGTCGAGGGCAATAGATTCCCTCCACGAGCCCTTCCGCTCTGCTATGGGGCACCCCATAGTGTGGGGGTGCATGGCTTCCAACTGTAAGGGGTTGGTATGTGGGTTGTCCAAGTCTACATCAGGGTCAGATTGGACATCCTCACAGTGCCCCCTCTGACTGCTCTGGGAATTGGGAAATTAATAATAATAATAATAATAATAATAATAATAATAATAATAGGTAAAGGTACCCCTGCCCGTACGGGCTAGTCTTGCCAGACTCTAGGGTTGTGCGCCCATCTCACTCTATAGGCCGTGGGCCAGCGCTGTCCGGAGACACTTCCGGGTCACGTGGCCAGCGTGACATCGCTGCTCTGGCGAGCCAGAGCCGCACACGGAAACGCCGTTTACCTTCCCGCTTGTAAGCGGTCCCTATTTATCTACTTGCACCCGGGGGTGCTTTCGAACTGCTAGGTTGGCAGGCGCTGGGACCGAACGACGGGAGCGCACCCCGCCGCGGGGATTCGAACCGCCGATCTTTTGATCGGCAAGCCCTAGGCGCTGAGGCTTTTACCCACAGCGCCACCCGCGTCCAATAATAATAATAATAATAATTTATTTATACCCCGCCCATCTGGCTGGGATTCCCCAGCCACTCTGGGCGGCTTCCGACAAA